TCCCAGCAAAATATTTGATTTCAGTAGGTTCTCAATAACTGCCTGCTAAATTAAGTCAAATTCTCATTGTGTTTTTTATAAATAAGACAGCTAATAGAAAATATTGAGTACTGTTAGGAGTACTTACAAATCCAGAAAGAATCTTAAAACAGTTGTTCTTGAGAAAGAAAAGAAATGTTAAAAAGAAAGTTAAATGAGAAGTGATCGATTAATTATGTATGTGATCAATGCCTTTTAAGCACTTAAACATTAGTTATTTGGCTAATTTAGAGAAGACATAGTATCAGTCACGAAAGCTTAGTATAAATTTTGATTCTTCTCAAGAAGAAGATGCTTATGCCACTAAGTCTTCTTAATTTTTCTCTTTTGAGGTTTCTCATAGCTGTCTTGTTTTTCCTCTGATAACCACCATCTTAGTTTTAGATATCACTTCAGCACCGGTTAGCTAATTCATTGGCCAACACAGTATAGGCTTACATAACAGAAATGACTTTCACACATATTTAAAATCATCTAACATTATAAATCCAATATCTACATCTCATAGCCTTCTTTTTACTTAATTCCTATGTCTACATTCAAAATTCTTTCAGCTGTTACCTGAGAATGTACTTTAATGAAGTTTCATAGCCCAATTAGCCCAGTGACCTGCAGCGATTTGAGGAGCAGGAAAGCAGAGCCTCCTGTGCTTTTCTAGAAAAACTCTCTTCTTTTTTTTTTTTTTGTATATCCTTTTTTCACCTCTATTACTTGGTCTCTGGACTATCCCAGCTGCTGACCCTGACTCTGCTTTGATTCATAGATCATTTTGATTCTTTTTCCTTATATTTTCCATTGAGGGCTTCTGGTTTTGTTGTTTTTATTCCTGTATGATTCTTATGGCTTGAGGTACACATAACCTTATAAGCCAAGATAGGGAAATACCTTGTTTGGGTGTTAACTTGCATGTTGCTTCTTATCTCTCTAATATGGTTTTAGTCTGAATTTTCTTCTACTTTTAGTGATATAAAATGGCCATCAAATAGTCATTGTAAATTTTAAATGATTTATTAAAGGAAGCGATATTTATTAGATTTATTAGAGGAAACAGTAATTCAGATAGCACTTAGGGTTTTCAATTCTCAAGGAGAATTGCAATTCTTTTTCCTTCTCATAGGTTCATGCCTTTTTTATTTTCTCTTTCATTCTTTTTGAGCTCTTATTTTTTGACTCCCTCTCTTTCTGTATTTTTAAATCTATGCAATGATTTTCTTTTTTTCTTTCTTTTTTTTTTTTTGGTACTGGGGATCGAACTCAGGTCCTTGCGCTTGCAAAGCAGGTGGCGGAACCACTGAGCTAAATCCCCGGCCCATATGCAATGATTTCTAAAGCACTATGGAAGTCCATTATATCTTGGTCTCTTTGACCTTGAAAGTCTACTTCTAGAAAAAGAAAAATGAGATGCTATATGCACTAAGATATTAATTGCAGCACTAAACATAGCAACAACAACAAAAACTAGATAAGACTCAATATTCAATAGCAAGAAATTTGTAAGTTATGATATTTCTACATAATTGAATAATATGTAACAATTAAATTTATAATTAAGAATCATTTCCCAAAAACTGAATTCAAATTCCAGATAAAGAACCTAAACTACTGCACATTTGTTCAGAAAATGTTTATGTAACTCCAGCAAGATATACTCTATGTAAGTCCTTAACACATTTCTTAAAATATCATCACTACTCACTTTGTCCTTTAATTATTTTTAATTAAGAAATGAGAAATCATGACAGTGTGCCTTATGGTAATACTGATGAAATATATAAGTACTGGTAAGTAAATATGAGGTCACAAGAATAACTTCTTACATTATTATTAAGAAGTGAACTTAATAATACTAAGATATATATGAATTATATAGAATTTTATTAAGGCTTAATACTTAAATTGTTCCTACATAGTTTTAAATAGCTGAATAATTTGAAAACCTTCAAGGTCTCAGTGATTTCCATAGCCAATTTTAATTTTCTCTATACTCTAAAAACTGGCAAATTATTTTGAAAATAAGCAATACAATGCTTATAAAAATACCTCTTTTTATATTTGCATTTCAGCAGTGTTCAGATGTAGTCTAATCAGATGGGGAATGGAACTTTGTTCTACTGACATACCCTCAAAATAGCACAGGCCACAGTAGGTGGCTCCAGTGAGGCCCTTTTTACAGTGATAAAGAAAACTGTTCCCATAAAAGAAAGCTCACATAAACAACAGAAAGGCTATTTAAGAATACCCCCCATATTGCCAGTTGTAAGCCTGCTGGAGACACTGGTTGAAATGACTTGTACCCATCAGTTTTTTACTTGTACAGATGGAGAATTATATATTTGACTTGCTGGAAAGGTTGGCTACTTAAAATACTCTCTTTTACAAAAGCACAGAAAAAAGAAAAAGGAGTGGGAGCTGCTTATTTCCTTCTCTGTAACAAAATGTGACTTATAATGCAATAATAGAAAAATATCAGTGCAGAGAATAAAGCAATTTATAAAAGCCACACTTAAAAAACCACAGAATATAATATTAATTAGAATTTATTAAAACTGGAATTTTTGAAATATCAGACATGGAGTTTTGGTACCTCATTTGGTACCTTAAGAGTCAAAGTGATGGTGGTTTTATCATAGATATTTCTGCTATACAAATAGGTATTTTGAAACAATGTTTTATGATGAGGTGTAAAGCGAGAAAGAAATTGTCTTGTGATAAAAAAGAATGAGTTTATGCAAATCTTTATTAACAGCAAGGAAAATTTCTTGGGTACGTTTTTAACTTAAAATGCCTTGCAAAAATGATTTTTAAAGTATCTTCCTTGATGAAAATCTTGCTTTAAAATTAAACCTAGATGAATGCCCCACACAGCAACTGTTCTGGAGTATCCACCTCACCATGGCCTCCACTGGACAGACACACACAAAGTGTACTGAGTCCAAAAGGTACCCAATCACTGCTAATCCTCCTTCAGAGTCTTCTGCAGGTCATTGTCCAGATATATTTTCTCATTTCTATTTGCTCTTGGTATTAATAATTGTAAACCCAACCAAATTATTTCAGTCTTAAATTGCACTGCTAATAATCTGTTTAACCCTTCTGAAACTGAGGCTATGGTCCATATACTCATCCACTCCTCTCACGGACCCCCACTACATGGATGAAGGAGCAACTCCCCATCCTGTATCTGTTTCTTTTCCTATTAGATATCAGAAACTAGACAAATCAGCAGAAATGTGATAACTAACAAGAGTTAGAGGATGACTATTGTTCTGTTACTGAGTTTAATAATTTCTGATCATGAGTGAGATACTTTCAGAAATAATTGGAAATTTCTAAGATAATTTCAGAAATAATGGGAAATTTCTGTTTATTCAAAGTTTTAAAAACAACCAAAATCACTTGACCAATATATATACCAGAGAGATTTTTACTCTTCAAAATTTAAAATGGGAGTGATTGAAGTGTAATAATTTAAGAAGTATATGGTCTTAACCTTAGGCCAAACTTCTCTAGATAAAGATACTTCCAAGAACTCAGCTGCTTTAGGCAATTCATTTTTAAATATATTTATAAACTGTTGGAAGGTTATACTTCAGAACTGATGAGGATTATATACTACTGTGGTGGAAATGTACCACACAGTGTCTTCTGGAGATGTAGAGGTTCAGGTGCCAGACCCAGGAAGGTTTCTAGAAGCCTGAATTATTTAGATCTATCTTTAAAGCATAGCCTCAAGAGATAGACGAAAGGTGGTGTCCAGAGTTGAGGCTAGAAACATAAGGTAAGTAGTCAGACTGAAGTATGTTTTTGAAGATGCTGAGCACACAAGCACAAAGGAGTCCTAAGGGCTCTGAAGAGAATGAGAACACAAAGGCAGGACAAGTAAAAATGAATTTATTTGGGAGAGTGGAAGAAAAACTCTGGTGATATTCCCTCAAATACTGTGGTAGAGTGATAGGGACTTTTGATGGAAAAGCTTCACCTTTTGAGTAGAAAGAGAACTGTTAAAAGCCCCGAGCCAATTTAAATAAGTATTACTCTAGACTCAATTTTTAATTTTTCTCTATAGAATACAAGTCAAATTAGTCACCCAACATGACATATGAAGAATTTCAGTGGCAACTACTTATTTTCCAAGAACATCCACTTTGGTTTTGAAAAACTGAATATTGAACAGTTTTTCTTTTTATTGCTTCAGAACCTATAACTTTCACCCAGCGGTCCTGGTCTTTCATGGGACACACAACTATAATATTCATTCAGCTTTTCAGAAATTCAACAGAGCCCAAAATTTCAAGTAGTGAGATTTTCCGGATTTCTTCATTTGAGATTTTTAACTGCCAATGAAAATGGTAATGAGTTCCTTGCAAGAATTTCACACAGGCTGATATTCAGATAATAGTTCTCAATCTTCAAATGTTCTGTGGCATTTTAAACTTTCTCCAATAAAATTCTTCTTAGAAGGTCAAGTAGCCATCAATTATGTTTATTTTTATCAATGTCAAGATATTAAATGAACACACATAGAGATAGGCACTTAGCCAGATTTGTCCTAGTGCCTGAGCCCTTGTTCTCAGTGACCTTAAAATTATAGTCAGGCCAATGACAGAAAAGTAATGCTTTCTATTTGAAGTCCACACAAATTGTGGAGGGGGAATGTAAAATATAGAAAAATATCATTCTTCCTGAGAAAAATAAAATGTATTTCTCAAGCACAAATGGACCAGTGTAGATTTGTTATTATTTTCATAAGTCAAACTTTCATAAGTGACATGTAAAAAGAAACATCTTTAAGTAATCAGGTAGAAAAAAAATCACCAGTATTCCATGTTCATATAAGAGCACTTTTATTCAGATACAAGTAGTATTTACTTTGTACCAAATGTTATCCTTTCCTTGAAACTAGGGACTGGGGGAGAACTATAAGCAGCAAGATGAACAGCTGTGTTCTGACTGGGTGTATGTGTGTGGGGGGCACATTTTGCATTAGATTACAATTCTAAGAAGGATCTTCACTGACAAACAGGGGCTTCTGTTGAAAGTGTCTCCCGGGAACCTGCACAGCACTCTGAGTTAGAGTGAGGACATATGTTCTGGTCCCACTCCATTGCTTGTGGCTTTTACAAATGGCTTTGATACAATAAGCTGTGGTAGTCCTCCTTTTCCATGAGGAGTGGCTGTTTTTCCTCGGGGAGCTGCTTTCTCTTGTGATGGCACAGTAGGTTAGTAAGGGCCACCACTGCAACAGCTAAGGCAGCCCCTACCAAGGCTGCCCCAACCAGCCATGGCCAGATCTGATGAGCTTGTTCTAAGTAGGGTGCAATGTAGTTTTGAAAGAAGCCTGGATCTGAAACAGAAAGAAATCTCAGTGTTTTTACTGTTGTTGATATCATCATCATCATCAATCATCATCATCATCTTTGCCTAATACTTTAGAGTCAGACGTTTGGGTTTGAACACCAGCTCTACTACTTATTAGGTATAAGAGCTTGAGGAAGTAGCACTTTTTACTCCTCAGTTTCTTCCCCAGGAAAAAAGGAAAATGATACTCCCTTGTTGGGATGTTAAAATTTGTAGATAGTCTATAGTAAATTATTCAGTGTCTGTTATACAGTGTGCACTCAATTGGTAGGTAATGTTTTCTGCTGATCTTATAATAATTCCGATTATCTATGCAACACTGCTGTACTATTAATCATCCAATAATTTTAAATTATTTGACAAACATTAGCTGACAAGAATGTTGCTAAATGTTCAGTAATCTCGGAATACTCCAAGAGCTTCAGGACATTTGTAAAATTTCCATATGTTTTGAGATCACAGATTTAAATCTTAACAGATTTTTTACAAAGTGTGTTTTTAAAAATTATGAGTAAGGAAAAATTTCCAGTATTCTGATTAGTTACATTGCTTCAAACCACATAAGCAAATGCCACTGGTGAGGGACAACACCAATAAATAACTTTCTACCTCTAAAATTTCTTAGTTTTGATAATCTGAAGCTTATACCTTACCTATGTACTTAGTGTGTTCATGGATTGTATCATGAGGTTAAGTTTGATCTCCTCAAGGACCTTTGGTTTCTTAAAAGCATTTTTATATTTAATTCAACAAGACTTAAATATCTAAAATGTTAAAGGGTTAGCATTTCTTCTATTATTGCACTGGTTAAATTCTATTCCAGTTATTATTTACATGTCTATTTTCTGTATTAAAGTGATTCCTTGCATATGTTATTTAATAAAATGAAATTAATTAAAACATGCTTAATGGTATGTTTAACTCTATGTGAGAAAAATACAACAGAAATCCCATCTAAGATCAAAATAACTGCAACAGTTTATTAATCTGACCAGTAGGATAACTTTTATTATTTTTGTTTTTATTTTCTTTTCAAATTTTCTAAAACTGAAATGATTACATTTTACTCATACAGTTTGGAATTGAGTTACTAAAAAGTACTTCAAGTTAAAAAAAAAAGAATACCTAAAGTAACTAATAGATGGTATGATTGTGAATGTAAAAATTTCAGGATTAGATAGTATGTATTAAAAGGAACACAATATTGTTTGATAAAACCATATTGTCCAATTATATAAATTAGTGTCCCTCAATATAAATTAGCCTAAAGTAAATACAAAAGTAAATATATGACAAATAAATCTTAGTTCCACTATCAGTTATATCCTAAGCTATAAGTAGTTTGAAGAGATAAATATAAAAATAGAATCTAAGAAACTAAGATTTTAAGAAAAAAGAAATATTTACTTTTACCTGCTCAATAAAAGTTGATAGATTATCGATGAAAGAGTAATTTCTTTATAGAAGACACTCTATAATGTATATAAAAGTTATTCAATGTTCATTTTTGAAACAAAGGGAAGAAGATATTGTATCCTGGACTTATGTTGCAGTAAGTTATGCTTGTATGACTCAATTTTCAAGCAAAAATAATATATGTGACTTTTAGGGAGTTCCATTAAAAAGAAAAGTCTTTACCCTTTGTTCATTTCTTTTTTGCTTAGCTGGAATGCAGATAATATTGGTGAGCCATCACAGACCTTGTGGTCCAAGAAAACTTTGGTCTTATGTAGCTATAAGAAAGGAGCAGTTCTGGTCTCTTAAAAATCATACAAATGATATTCAGTGACCCACTGGGAATGCTGTTGGAGTAATCAACAAAGTAATTTATTTAAGTGTGGGATTTGAGCTTCAACCTTAGCATATCTACTGCCAATTCTCACCTCCCTTGTCTGCTGATGCATTTCTTTGTGACCCCTCTCCTTGGCTGTAGTTGCTTAGTAAATGATGGAGCCCTGACTCATGGTACCCACTCAGAGTCATTACCCAGAGTTCGCTAGGTTGGAATTGAGAGTCAGGTGGCTCGGTTACTGATGACAGACATACTTCCCAAAACGTGGAAGACAGGATAATGCCAACACACAGTGAGTGCTAGGGATTGGAAGAAGAGTCCCAGCCATTAGGGTACTCAGTTCCTTGGCCCCTGATGCTTCTCAGGCTCAGGTGCACTTCTGTCTTTTCCATAACTTGAATGCACCTCCCATCCTTGGATTTTATAAACCAGTAAGTTCTCTTTTTATCTATTCTAATTTCCATGGAAGTTTTGGTATTCTGCATTTTATTTTATTTGTAGAAGTTAATGTTTATTAAAGGGGAAATAATTTAAAAAGTGCAAATCTGAGAGCTACATTTTGCCAAAACTCAACAGTATCCATGGTATTTGTCAGGACTTCAACAAGGTCACCGTCTCTGAATATCCTGCCAAAAACAAGGCTTGGACGTTAGTATTGGACCCCTCCTGTCTGCTAACTTGGCAGCCAGAGGAATGCTGTGAAAACACAAAGCCTGTGGGGTTGTTCCTCTGCCTCTGACTTCTACTGCACCCCCCTTTTTTTACTTTTATTAGTATATGATTTATACATTCTAGAGGAATGTATAATGTCTGAGGAACAGCAGGTGAAAATTTTTTCCCACATTGTGGGTTGTCTCTTCACACTGTTGGTGGTTTCTCTTGCTGTGCAGAAGCTTTTTAGTAAGAAGAGATAGCACTTGTTGATTGCTTGTGGTAGTTCATGGGCAACTGAGGTTTTGTTCATAAAATCTTTTCCTGCACCAATATCTTCAAGAATTCTACCTAACGTCTTTCCAGCCAGTTCAGCATTTCTGTTGTAATATTTAGATTTTTAATCCATTTTGATTTTAGTTGAATGCATAGTGAGAGATATAGGTCTAGTTTTAATCCCTGACAAGTTGAAACCCAATTTTTCCAGCACCATTTTAAAGAGGCTATCTTTCCTCCAGTGAGGGTGTTTGGCTCCTTTGTCAAAGATAAGATGGCTGAGTGTTAGGAGTTGTTTCTACATCTTCTAATCTGTTCCACTGGTCCTCAGGTCTGTTTCTTTGCCAGTACAATGCTGTTTATATTACAGTAGCTTTGTAATATAGTTTCAAGTTGGGTCCTGTGATTCCCTCTGCCATGTCTCTGTTAGCTAGAATTGCTTTTGCTATTCTAGGTCTCTTCTTGTTCCAAAAGCATTTTTGGATTATTTTCTCAAGGTCCATGAAGTATGCTGTTGGAATTTCAATTAGGATTGCATTGAATCTATATAGCAGTTTTGGAAGTATAGCCATTTTCATTATGTTGATTCTTCCTACCCAGGAGCAAGGAATGTCTTTCCATTTTCTGATATCATCTTCAATCTCTCTTCAGAGTGCTATAGTTTTCAGAGAAGAGGTCTTTGATTTCTTTTGTTAGATGGCTTTTATCTGACATAGAGACCATCTGTGCCATTTTTTTGTTGGGTTTTTATCATAAACGTGTGTTGGATTTTGTCGAATGCTTTTTCTGCTTCTATTGAGATGATCACGTGGCTTTTGTCCTTGGCTCTATTGTGTAGAGTATTACATTTATTGATCTGTGTATGTTGAACCATCCCTGCATCCCTGGGATGAATCCCACTTGGTCAGGGTGTATGATCTTCTTGATGATCTTCTGTGTTTTATTTGCCAGTATCTTATTAAAGATTTTTGCATCTATGTTCATTAGTGAGGTTAGCCTATAGTTCTCTTTTCCAGTTCGGCATTTCTCTGCTTTGGACATCAAGGTGGTGCTTGCTTCCAGGAGTGAATTTGGGAGTATTGCTTCCCTTTCAAATTCACTGAAGAGTTTAAACTGTAGTGGCAGTAGTTCCTCTCTAAATGTCTTGTAGAATTCAGCAGTGAATCCATCAGGACCTGGGGTTTTCTTGGTTGGTAAGTTTTTAATTATGTTTTCAATTTCATTGATTGACATTGGGTTGTTTAGAATTTTTAGATCTTCTTCATTCAACTTTGGTAATTCATACATATCTAGGAATCTGTCCGTTTCTTCTGTGTTGTCCATCTTATTGGCGTATAGGTTCTGGAAGTAGGTATTGATGATCCTCTGGATTTCTGCTGGGTCTGTC